TTTAAATCCTAATTATATATTATTTTTACAAAAAGGATTTGTTGCGTGTTCTTCGTATGAAGAGTATACAATTAATTTTATTACCATACAATAAATCAACTTCAAACTCATGAGATCGTTCGAAAAACGTATTGTACATTTTTTATTTAAAAAAATGCAAAAAGATTCAATTTTATTCCAGAATATTTGAAAAAAAATGCTTCGGATAAATTATTAAGACAATTCTTAAAATAATTTGATTGAATTCATTTTATTAGTTGTCATGGACATGTGCAATATAGAATTGGCAATTCAACACAAACAAATATACAAAAATGACATAGTTTAAGCCATAACAATAGAGCACAATATGCTCTGTAGAAATTCTAATACATGCGCGCACTACTCAGCTTCGACTTTGCTTGTTGCTTCAAGCGTGCATGTTATGCTTGTGTGAATGTAATGTTTGTTCTGCATTGTATGTTTTGCGCCGTGAAATCGTTGACAAAAAACAAAATGAATTCAAAAAAACTATTTTAAGTATTGTTCTAATATTTTGATTGTTTTTTTTATATATGAACCGCCTAGAATAGATCAGCATTACTAGATAAATGTCTTCAAATGCGTTATAGAAAAAAGTACGTCAGCAATAGTGTCAAAAACTGTATGTGACGCGTTATATAAAAAAGTTCGCCAACAAAAGCGTGACATCCTCCATATATTTTATAACGTTTTTGCTGACTGACTTTTTTCAGTAACGCATTTGAAGACATTTATCTAGTAATGTTGATTTATTCTAAGGGATTCATATATAATTGGAATTAGAATCTAATTTTGAATTCTTATTTTTTAAATATTTGTGAATTCCAATAGAATGGACCCACAATTTTCATTCATTTCCTTTCCTTTTTGCTTTCGAAAAGCAAAATGTCATTTTAACATGAACATATTTTCTCAAATGTTAACATGCTATTTTACTCGCAACACATTTTGTTTGCGAGTAAAATACTATTTTTCCATGAATACCATTTTGGCTGCAGTTAAAATGCCCTTTCTGCCGTTAATTTGTATTATTTAAATGAATTTTTTCATTTGAATGTTCTTAAAAAATGCTATCGATGATTTTTTAATCTGATGATTTTTTTCAATACTTATTTTTCCATCAAACCACTTTTTGTTTCGAATAAATACTATATTAATATAATACTAGATAAATGAAACATTTTTAGAAAGAAAAAAAATACAAAAATAAAGAGAAGATATTCATCTTCAGCGGTGTCATTTATATGTCATTATAGCGTGTTATTCAATAAGAAACTCGTTGGCTTGATCAGCAGACGCGCAGAATTTTATCGCACGAATCGTACGTGTTCCAGAGTTCGAAACCATAGAAGATAAATATTTTTTTTTATTTCTACAGTAAAGTATACATTAAGTGGAAGATGAATATCTTCTCTTTATTTTTGTTTTTTTTTTCTAAAAATATTTTATTTATCAAAATATAGTATATATTCGAAGCAAAAAGTGGTTTGATGGAAAAATAAGTATTGAAAAAATCATCCGAATAAAAAACTTCATATTGTAATTTTTTCATCGATAGCATTTTTTAAGAACATTTAAATAAAAAAAATACATTTAAATAATACAAATTAATGGAAGAAGGGCATTTTAACTGCAGCCGAAATGGTATTCATGGAAAAATAGTATTTTTCTCGCAAACAAAATGTGTTGCGAGTAAAATAGCATGTTAACATTTGAGAAAATATGTTCATGTTAAAATGACATTTTGTTTTTCGAAAGAAAAAAGGAAAGAAAATGAATGAAAAATGTGGGTCCATTCTATTGGAATTCACAAATATTTAAAAAATAAGAATTCAAAATTAGATTCTAATTCCAGTTATATATATAAAAAAACAATCAAAATATTAGAACAATACTTAAAATAGTTTTTTTGAATTCATTTTATTTGTTGTCATCGATTTCACGGCGCAAAACATACAATGCAGAACAAACAATACATTCACACAAGCATCACATGCACGCTTGAAGCAACAAGCAAAGACGAAGCTGAGTAGTGCGCGCATGTATTAGTATTTCTATACAGCATATTGTGCTCTGCGTTGTTATGGCTTAAACGATGTCATGTTTGTGTATATGTATTGTTTGTGTTGAATTGACGATTCTATTTTGCCACATGTCCATGGCAATTAATAAAATGAATTCAATCAAATTACTTTAAGTATTGTTTTAATGTTTTAAGTGGGAACTTTTTATGTTATTCTTTTTGGTTTTAAAATTATATAATAAATTTTATTAAATACTAAATATTAGTTAATTGTTAAGTTATTAAAACTGACAATTGTAAGTGTCGCCATCTGTTGGAAAAATATCAAATTAGTTGTATACTCTTTTGCATCAAGTCCTTTAGTTTTAAAGTGTGGATATAGAGATACCAACACCGGATGTGAATAGAAAATGTGATGAAATAACAAATTAAAATTTAGTGCACTGTGCAATGTACACATTTTGTATTTTGAGTTTATTTTATGTATGCCCAGCTCAGTCCAAAAATTTGTTAACATTAAATGAAATTAATGTATTGCAAATTTGAATATTTTATTTTATTTAAAATGCTATTACATGCATTTAAAACGTAATGTTTCCAGTATTTTTTTAATAGAAAAAATGTTGGATTTGTACGTGGATGCAAACCATAAAACTCTTGCTTGCTCAAGCGGTTTTCTTTGGTTGCTGTTGATGCTCGCACTGCTCAATATGCAGCAAGAATTTACGCCTGGATTTCTACCCGAAGGCAAGGTTTTGGTGTTGAAATTCTCAAGATTGTACCAGATACCCTTCGATTGCTGTTTTATTATCTATCTGTGTATGAGTTTATCAACGCACAGTTTTCACCCAAGACCTTATCATCTCAGTTCAACTGATGTGATGTACGCATAGACACCAAAAATAATTATTAAATTCAAATATTTTTTATATCATCATAATTCTGAATTATACCACACAGCAAATATGCCAAAGCAATTAGGAACTTTATTCATTGTTACCTATCGTACGATCAAAAGCACAATGATTTGATGTTTATGCGGTAATTTTTCTCATATTTCAAAATTGCATCAAGCATTTCACACAATCGTGGTATGTAGGTTTCCAACTTTATGTTCATCAATGCATTTGTGTTTTATGAAATTGAATTTTTATTTATTTATTATTTTTAGCATATTAAAATAAATAATTCGTTAAAAAAACTCAATTCTAAAAAAATAGAATACAAAAAATAGAAAAAATTGAATATTTTGACAAGCTTTTTGGAACGAGTACATATTCTCTTGATTGATTCGCATATCTCTTTATGATTCGAAGATTTGTCCCGTCACTACTGGGAGTTTTTATTATTGACGTACTTAGACAATCCTTGGAAATAGCGGACAACAGCATTTGTAGCATCGTAATTTTACCTGTAACGTTTGCCAGAGTAACTAATACAAACATAACAATCTATGCTTACTTTGTTGCCCGGCTGTCATTATGTCCAAGAGGAACAAAATGTTTCAAACCCTAATATATTCAATAAAATAGGCTTGACCAATATATTATATACTCAAAAATATACTTTTGGTGACTTTCTTAATGAATATTGGCTTGATTCACAATAACCATCAATCCATAATGCTACTTTTGTAAGAAAACTGTAACTAAAGCCTTAAATAGACATCACATCGTAGTAATTATGTGCAAAGTATGGTTGAAAGTCGAACTTGACCATTACCAGAGTATGTCTGCATGCACAGCAGAAGCAAAAAATGATTATATGAGTTTTATTTGTCACATTCTTTTTTCAATCTAAATAAATTGGTCGTGAATATAGCTTTTCGTGTACTAAGAACATAAGAAACGAAATTTTATTTCACGCACTAATGGCTCTTCGATAACGCACGCATACCAAAAAAAAACTCTTCGATAAACTCGAGAAGACATCTTAAATGAAACGGTTGACATCAATTCTCGGGATTTTCAGTATTTTCACCACACAACATTTTCTGAACGATGCTCAATGTAAAAAAAATCGATTTCATGCTATTCACATGAAACCGAATTTCCGATAACCAAGTAACATTTATGGTCAGTCTGCAATCACATGGATAAAATTTTCATTTGAGCAAATTAATGGCATTTTCTTCTTTTTGCGTATGTGGTAAAAGAAACCGCTTGAAGAGCGGCCAATCAAGCCGATGTTAATGTAGACGAGAGAGAGAAAGACCGAATGTTTATCAGAACATCAAAATAAACGTAAATCTCATTATCAGATTTTTGTGTTGAGGTCAGCAATGCTATCAGGTTAACAACCAAAGAAGGAAAAAAAATAAGGGACTTAGTCCAATGGTTTCCAACCGATATTTAATGTGAATGTTTGTTTCGGAATACACATTTGAAATGATTGATTGTAATAGGATGATGCAATGTTCGGATTTATTCGATGATAGAGAAGACACAGAGTTATCTTTCGATTCATTATTAGCAGGTATTTTTCTATAGAACTGTGATAGAGAAAAAGGCGTTTATCTTCATCTTGATTGGAATTGGTGGCTTGCCTTCTCGTTTTCGATTTCGTTGAGTGCCAATTCATTTGACACGTAAACCAATTAATTTAGTTGTGGTTTACAGATGCATATAAACATGAGAAAATCTCATGCATATGAATATGGTTTATAAACGAAAACTGATAATGAAAGATTCAGGTATCTGCAGTAATCAGTGTTTGTGGTTTTGCATAATCCAGCACTTTTCTTCACACCCATAATGCCCTTTTAATACAATTCATTTTGATTGGATTTCCATTAACAAGTGTGCAAATTCGTGCAGTAATTAATCGTAGCACTTCTCTTATACGAAATGCTTTTATAAACAAAATTTATATCATTAGGATGCGATGTTATTCTAGATAACATTGATTAAATATAAAAAAAAAAAGATATGAGAAACTCCTCTTATTTAAAACTTACGTGCGTATGTGAATAATGGACACTTTTTTAGATTCATATATTCAGAAAATGTCACCGTTTAGGCCAACGCTCATGCTCTTACCTGTAAGAAAAATTAGAAATAAAGTTAATTTCATTAGAACTCACAAAACAACATTCATCAAATGACTAAATTTACACATTTTTTTTGAAATATACTTTTATGCTGTTCAAGTGTTCATATTTTAATTTATATTATTTTTAAGAAATAAAAAAACAGATACATTTGAGGGTTAAAACTTTTCGTTGTCACCCGTATGCCTTTTATATATTAAAATCTTATGATCTGCATACTGAAATGGTGCCGCATAAAATTATACCGATAATTGGTCATTCCATACAAATTGTTATTCTGTCATGAGCAAATAAATAAATAAAAACATCCTTGTTATTTTTCCATCAATACTTCAAAGGGAAAATTCATAAAAAATTCAAACAAATAAACCATATACCATTTTAAATAAAATTATAAATACAGCAATTGCCGTAAACAAACATACAAAAAACGATGGTTTGCACACACACATACACCACTGAGATTAAAACAAAAATGTGAATTGGTAATTTATCGGCCACATATGGTAAGCAACGTTTTTTTTCTCGCTGTTACTCATTTTATGGTCTGTTTTAAATCAATATGCTATACCACATATTGGTTCATTTAAACCCGGCTTTTCTGTTTTCTCCCAATTTATTTCAAATATTTCATGCAACTTTTTTTACACATTGTAAATTCACAAAGCAGACTGTACTGATGTTGATTTTTTTTAATTTCGTGTCTGACTTTACGTTTCATCTAAATTGAGTGCATCCAATTGGGGAAAAGACAAATAAACATGTATCCTCGATGCAGAATATAAATATACAAAAAAAAATGATTTCTATGAAAAGCAATTAGCGTTGCATATGAATCCAACAAAATAATATTACATGTTTGCATGATTTCCAGTGATTTGATTGCAATTGATGTTTTTATTATTGTATTTTTTCCATTCATCATACAGAAGAGCGGACATAAATTGCATTAGAATAACGCTTGAGTAAAGTTTGAAGCTATAAAAAACATTGTGTTCACGCTTGTGATATTCATTCCCAATTATTTGAGGTTTTTATTGTATAACAATGTAATTACTTTCAATTACCATTTTTTTCGTGCAAATTTGCATTTTTTTTGCTTAAGTGGGGATCTTTTTTTCATTGGAAATTTAAATAAATTCATGTTCAAATGAATCGAGCCGTTATCGAACCAAATGGAAACGAGATTGCATTTCGATTGATTTGCGAAAAAGACTTGTTTGAATTGGGAAAAATCCGAATTAAGAGTCTATTCGATTTTATTGGTGTCATATTTGTTTTCAAAGGTAAATCTGTTTTCTTTTCATGAAAATTGTTTTCCGTAAAAATTCGATTGGAGAAAAGTGGAAAAAATCGATTGTAAGAAGTGTGTATATGTTTTTTGTCGTTGCTGTTGATAAAGTACCATTTTTGTTTTGGTTGCAAGTTTGTTTTATATTTCATCCTGAAAGCAGCAGAACTGGGATACAATTCGTTGCTGTGTGCACTGCGGCTGTAATTAACTACAAACGTGTCCGACTCACTCTCAATAGTTGTACATTTTCCTTTGGTATTTTGTACAATTTTTTATGATTTTTATTGGAAGATTGTACATGGGAAATAATTCTGTCGCAAAAAGTGCAATTCACATCCAACCAACTTATTTTCCAGTGCTCTTGTTGAAGTGCACAAAATTACATTTTAAAATTGTAATTGAAAAATAACTACATTTTATTTATGATGCAACTGTGCTCATTCCGTCGATTCTCTGTGAAAAAATCCTTCTTGTTTTCTCTACACCGAACTTAACACTATGAATCATTTTTATCACGTTCATTGTTCTTTTTCTTTTTATTTTCATATCTCGTTTCGTTTTCTTCTTCATAAAATGTTCCAAGTATTATTTGTTAGACATAATTTTCTATTAGTTTCATTGGACTGATCACCTAATATAATATTCGAAATGGTAATTCCAGTAAAATAACAAAAGATTTCATAATAATAGCAAGTTTGTAATGTAATTTTAATCTAATTGGTAAGCGTGTCAGGGAAAATGTTCTGACATAAAAACCAAAGGAAAATTGTGTCGACATTTTATTCGATTTGCATTGAAATTACAGGCAAACAAAAACGTTGGAAGCATCAAGTCAATTTCAATCGATGTTGGTAATTTATTCAATTTTTATGAGCACGCAAAAGCTTTGTATCTTTTTGTAATGGTATGCACGCTGAAGTCAGTCATAAGTATGTACGACCATTTATAATAAAAGCGAATTCTTATCATTTGCTTATAGAATGATTTCTTTTACGATTTACATCGCAACATTATCTCATTTGTGTTTGAAAAGAAAAACGATGATATTAAAAAGAGAAACATAATGTGTAAGTCACCGGGGTTTAGTCATCTTCTGAAAATTCAATTTCGATCACGAAATTTTTCAGCCTTTTGGCCACTTTTTCATCATCTCGTTACATCGCAAATGGCACGTAAGTGATTATCTCTTGTGCATGTTTTGCTACAAATTTATATCAATACGCACTTGCTGTTTTTGTTTTGTTTCTCACATTCATTTTTATTTAGGTTTAAATTTTCGATCTTTGTCATTGATATTTTTTAAAGACGAATCAGAATGGTTGATGATATTGAATTGATGTTATCGAATTGGTTGATGATGTTGAATTTTTTTCCGTTAACATTTAAATTGTGATGAAAAGTCATCGAAAAGATTGAAAGTATTTCGTTAACGAGAACATCATGATGTTGAAAATCTGCTCTTCAATATATACACGACAGTCTTCTCGAATCTTGTTATTTGGGATTTGATGTAATTTGTTGTCTATTTTGAAGTACTCGTTCTGTATGCGACCGACTCTAAATCGTACTTACTTTTCAAGTAATAGTCTCGTCGCAAACCAAATTGAATGACGTCTTTTACTACTACCAGTCTGTCATTTTACTTTGAGTAGCCTATTTATACATGTTTCCTAATCTATTGGTGTTGGAGTTTCTATCAAGTATTCGAGCTCTTTCTACCTCATGATTTTCCATCGTCATTTTGATTTTTTTGCGTGTTTGCTTTTTTTATGTAGAAAACGAAAGATTTATAAGAAATTCTTTTTATATAATTTGTTTGTTCATGTGCAATCTTTTTATTTATTTTTTCATCTTCAAGCATACCATTTTTTAAAAGAAATCATGAATCTTTGTTTAGTCTTGTCCTAATCCAATTCAATCTATGTCGCCTTCAAGACATTCAGACAGACACATGCACACATATTTTTGTTACTCATATTATAACGACCATTCAACGAAATATTGTTCGGATTCATTTTTATTGTTATTACATCAATATTCCTTATAGTGTCTCTTGGCCCCACCATTCTATAAGTGTTCAATCGATTTTTGTGTAGTTTATATTCATTTTTGTCGATCGTTATGTGTGTTGATGGTTCCAACTAAGTTTTTCGGCTTTTTCTATGCTTCGAAAATTTGCATTATGTACCATTAATGGTGCATGAGAATGAATCGACAGATCAACAAAATATCCAAATATTTTGGAGTATTTTATGGTATAACCCCTATCGAAGAAGCATAAAAGTTCGACACTTGAAAAATGCCAACAAAAGCAAAAGATTTACGTGAGACTGAACTATAGAATTTCAATGCGAATGTTTATCCGTAAATCTACGACTAAGTCACTTTGATGATGGGCATCATTGATACCAAACGCTATTATCTTAGATAAAACTATAGTTTTTATATATTATATAGGCTTATATAGATGTTATAAGTTCCTCTTTTTACTCGAAAGCACATAACATTTAGCAAAACGATTTCAAATAGATATTAACCTCCGAATTGGATTTCTACATATTCCAATAGCCTAACAATCATTTAACTTTGTATCTTTGTATCTTAAGACATTTATTTTTAGATGTTTATAAGATGTCAACATTATTATTGCTTGCTGTGGCTTTTGAATGTTGTTATTCGTAAAGTAAAATGTCCTTTATAAAAGAAACCGCTTCAAGAAGAATGAGTGAATATTTTGGTCTTGAATCAAATAGAAAAAATGTGATTCCCTTTTATTTTTATACTGAATTTTGAAATAAACTTGTGACTAACAAGCTTCATGACAACCGATGTAATTTCGAATCAAATGCAACTTGTTCTCAATAAATTATTTGATTTGAATAATTACTTAAAATGAAATGATTTGATTTTTTTATTTTGATTTAAAATCCACTTTTGAGAACTCTGAATGCAAGTATTGAAGAATGACTTCCTTTAAATATGATATAAAATGAATTTAAAATTATCTATTTACAAAAATATATGAACTCAATATCTCAGTCGTCTGTTCATTCGTCACTTTAATGCTACACAAATGTAACTGATAAACTAATCGGATGAATTGAGTCACTAATAATATGATTACTTACGCATACTATGTCTGGGTAAATATACAACCGGAATTTTGTCTATCTCATTCTAAACAATAATACTTCCTTCCAATTTTGATAGTTGTAAATAGCTACATTAATACTCTATTGAAGCTAAGTTAACGCTTAGTATTTGTTTGGCGATATAAAAGTTAACATTTCGATTTATACAAGCAACATCATTTTAAATTTTGTTTCATAATGATCGGGTTAGACTGTATTTTTCGGTACAAATGGTTGTTCGTATTAATAATTTGTTCATTACATTATTGGGTCTTTGCTGAAGGCGAGGTTTGTTATTGTAATTCAAGTTGTTTAAAAATAAAATTATCAATTTTATTATATTTCAAACGTTCACAGACTGGTCAATGTATATGGTATGGTGTTTGTAGAAATTTTGAAGAAAATGGTATGCTTTTCGATAAAAAAGATGTATAGAAAAATAAAATTAAAAAAATATTGATATTTCAGACATCGAGAAGAGTCAGTACTGCAGTTATAATGGAACAGCAAAACTTTTAAATGAGGATGGACGTCAAAAATTGTCTCAATACTGCTCACATTTAGACAGCGGAGAAAATAATACTTTCACGTGTTGTGATAATGATCAGGTAATTATAGCTTTTTTTATTGTGAAAATTAAATATCTGTAAATCTGGCATAGATTGAAGTGATGAATGATAATATCGAGAGAGCCGAATTTGTACTGAGCAAGTGTCCAGCCTGTTTTCATAACTTTTTACAACCGATATGTGAAATGACATGTAGTCCAAATCAAACAAACTTTTTAAAAGTTCAGAAAATAGAAACCGATGATTCTGGTATGTAATTTCTATGATTATATGATGTTCAAAGTGTTTATTTTCCAATTCCATGTCAATTTTGGTATTTTAGAACAAGGAAAACCTTATGTAACTAACATTGACTTTTCAATAAGCTATGATTATCTAAATGCAACATTCCAGTCATGTTCGCAGGTAATGATTTCACAAACATTTATTTGTCTGTTGATGTGTGATCATAATACTATTTATTGTGTTTGTAATCCAGGTCAGCTATTTAGTTTTTATTCGTGTATTAGATTTGATGTGTGGTGCAAAAGGATCGGAATGTACACCAGAGAGATGGTTTTCACACATGGGTAATCAGCTAGGGGCAATTCATTTAAAAATTGCCTTTCTATTGTTTAATAATTGTTATTGATTCTTTTTCGATTATTTCGATTATTTGTCGATTATTTTAAATTAATTCTATTCTTTTCTTTTGTGATTCTCCCCTAGGTAATGCAACAGGCAATAAATATGTACCATTTCAAATAAACTATATTACTGAGACAATAGACGATTATATTCCCTTCAACAAATCTACAGTACCTTGCAATGAATCTGTTGATGTATGTTAGAAATTTTTCAATCTACTTTTTTTGCCATTCTGATAATACTTATCTCTATTTTCAGGGGAAATCCGAAAAGTGCTCTTGTCTTGATTGCAATCAATCTTGCTCTTAAATATAATCTAATATAAATTTTACTCGGATTGGTATTATTTTAACCTAGATTTTAACTTCAAATTACTTTAAATTTTTATTGTTTTGTAATTCCAACACATTTTTTTTCTTCAAATAAGTTTTGTTCCATTTTCATTTTTCGGAAATATTTCAGTATTCAGGGGTTGTTTTTTAGAATATTGTGCTCAAACAAAAGAAAAATAAATAATAAAAAAGTTTACACTTCCCATGTGTGAATTGAATGAAAAGTTTCCGATGAAGTTCATCGAGAAAATATTTTGCGGAAATGCTCCAAGAGTAAGATCATTTATTTATTTTTAAATGTGCAATGTTTGAGATAAAGCAAACACTCCAAAAAGGAATTTCAAGAATAAAGCATTTACTTTATTATCGTAATCTGTTTACGGGCATAGCGATACAAATCATTGCTAGAGGGTGCAATTTAATGCGCACAATATGTGTGATAAACCAAAAAAGTTATTGTTATGGCAACTCTTCTGCTAAATGTATTTGAATACTTATAGATGAAACTTCGGAGAAATTTGAGATTCTAGATAAAACATAAAAAAAATTAATTCGCTTTCTAGTCGATTGCACGCCATCATGCGAGCCAACCATTTGTCAATATATATTTATTCAAATTTTGTGTGGATGTGAAAGGGATCCATGGTACCAGCTGATGTTGGTATGATACACATTTTGCTATTAAAATTGAATTGGATCAAGTTTTAGAAAAGAAGTTTTGTTTGTCGGCATCATAGAAAACTCTTTTCTTCGATACTCCGAAATTCTGGCCATTATATTAATATGCAATAAGGTTTTGATATAGATTATACAGCTTTGGCCCAATTTCAATTTTAAAAAAGTAAACAAAAACTAATTTGATCAAAGTTTTGGCTTCATATAAGTTTTCTTTTTGAACAAAAGTGTCAACCATCTGAATTGAGTTTTACAGCCAATCGATGTATCGAAGTTTTACGTAGCCTCCTATAGTCATCTAAACACACATTTTATATCAACTTGAGATTTCACTTACATTTGTTGCTAAACTAATTTTTGAATCACTTTTACTCGTTTTATTTTCTGATTTCCGTTTCCTTGCCAGGACAATTGACGAACAAGTAGCGACAATCATATTATATCGAATGCAAGATGTAGCTGTTGTGTGCTTACTTGTTAAATTATAGAAGACCATACGATAAAAGAAGACAAGTACACAAAAATAATGTAAACGAATTGTAAAAAAAAAGTCAATCCCATTCCCAAGTTTGGGATTCCATTTGTTGTCAGAAAAAAAGGTATCGCCGGAAATACTTTGAAACGATTGTTTGAGATGATTTCGTTTTATCGAAGAAAAAGGACTAAAATTCATTCATATGTTGAAAGGGTATAAGAAATTTCCATTCAGTTCAAAAGTATATGAGATGGATTTGCCAAATTAAATTATTATTTGGAGAAAATTACGAAAATAATTGGCTAAATTTTCTCGCAAAGTATTTTCAGTTATAGAAAATGGGAAACATAACATATAACGCAAAAATATACTACTAGGCAAACTAATTGAAACATTTGTCTTATGGTCCAATTATACTCTTGTCAAGTTTCATGCATGCTATGTACAGTATAGTATGTATAATAGATGTATCGAATATAGTTTGTTTTTTGGTCTAATATTTGTTTTGCCATCAAAAGGGTTCTCTACCCATAAAACGTAGTACAGTTTATTCCGGACTTATCGACATTTTTTATTCTCTCTATTTTTATTTTCCATCATATCGCATTACGCGTGTGTCTCTTCCTTATTACAATGTTACTGCTTATTTACTATGAAATGGATTGAATGTGTTTCGATAAATTTCTGCTGTTCATCAGTATTTTCCATTTTATCATATAGTTGAGCACACAACACGAACGCACTATCAGACATTTTCTCCTTCGCATATGCACACAATATTTTTTGTATTAACGATACGGTTCTACGGATGAGGACGACTGAATGTGACGGTACTCAGACATTTTTTTTACTAGAAACTATCATAAAACGAGGAAAAAGCTGATTCGCTATCGGAATAAACGAACAACGACAAAAAAAATGAAATTGTTCATAATGTTACGTTCTTTCAATTACTTTCAGAATGTAAAACACACAAAAAAAATTTTTTAATGCGTGCCTGAAACAAAATTGGCTTGTCTCATGCATTTGACGGGAATCAAAAACACTGCATAATATTAAGAGAAAAAACGTAGCTCAAAATTGTTGATTGACGGAATTCATGGAAAATAATAGAGAAAATCCAAGCAAATTAGTCAACGTGAAATTCTCATTATCAAAAGCTAATTAGAATTTTTCGTTAAAGTGATTAGCAATTTTTGACGATATTTGCATTACAAAATCTCCTCCCTTCAACTCAGAGCATGAAAAGTGAAAATTGGCATTTTGTGTCGTATTTGACTATCTGCGTTTATTTTGTGCTGCAGAATATTTGAGCATAATGTTTAGTTCATTTTCTCACTCACGGAAGGTGCAATATTTTTTATCTGTATTTACAAATAAATGTATGGTGTAGTTTAAAATATCAGCATCGATAAATAATGCATAACATTTAACTTTTAAAAGATATTTAAATATTCATTAAATATATCATTTCTATTTGCCCGTGGGGGATGTATCATTTCAATTTTTTACATGCTTTTTGACTAAAATCCAACAAATTTACATTTTTCTATGTAAAACATTTGTCCGAATTGGATATTCTTTGAACCATATATGTTGTTCTAACTTTGTTTTGATTTATGTCTTTCCAATTTTGATAGATATTTCGTACGTACGTATTGATTCCGAATTATTTTCAATTTCGTTAAATATTCCCAATTAAAACGAAATGGAAAACTTTATCAATTTGGTGAAATGCGATGACAAACACAGAATTTGTATGGGGAGATAGAGTGTGATTGTGTACCATTTCACAGAACAAAAATGGAAATGGAAAATAAAGTGAAATGCCGGTGTTTGTTGCGTATCAACATTGAACAAATCGTATGTCATGTATGTTCCATCTGTTTTTCGTTCTCGTTTTTTTTTCAAACAAAAAAAAAGACATCAAGCGAATGATGCAACTTTTGCCAAAGCAATTAAATTCTCCATTTGAAACTATCAGGCATACGCTTAAATGTTTTGAGTGCATTTGAGAGTTGTGAATATATTTTGTGATAACCAAAATGAATTCCTTTCATTTTGTATCATTGAATAATTTATAATGTAGAAATGTTCTGCATATTAAATGTGTTGGAGAATAACTTTATTTTTCTACAACACCCCTGAAGGTTTGAAGTTCTGAATATTATACAGTTTTCCGTACGATTGCCAATAAAATGTTTTTTGCTCTGCTTTTGCTTACTTGCACACTACCTTTGAAGTAAATTTTATTGCTTTTTACAATCGCGAAACTGAAGAAAAATTTACCAATTTTATATAGTGATTTCAAAGAAATTTAGACGATTTCTCACATTATTAGTGATATTATTTGGCAGTTACAAAGAATTGTTAAATTACTTTGATAGTTCAATTTGTAAAAATTGAGAGTTACAGTTCCGATTAAACTTGTAAAATTATTATTTTATTTTGACAAATTTGTTCAATAAATATCAAATTTTAATATATTAGTTCTACAGCTCAAATCTCTGTACAAGTGTGCCTTACATTAGCCATTGAAATTCAGTACGTCAATATGAATGTTTGAAAAAATTCTTCCATTGTGATAGAGCATCTATTTACCATGACATTCGTAATCGACAGTCATTTATTATATGATGTCGTGTATTTGCAAAATGGCATACAATAGCAAAGGCCGGATATGAAGTGAATCAAAAGCAAAATATGTTTTCGATCATATTAAAATAGACTATAAATTATCTCAAGGGTATAAACTTAATTTATGTAGCCGGTATTTTGTAAGTATAAGTCATACGTAGTCAACCAGAATGATATGGCTGAGTTCCAATGTGAAAAGTAAAATTAGTTGCAACGATTTATTGAAAATTATTTTGATTCAAACGAGTTTAACTATGAATTGTAAATCGTACATTGTGTCTGATGCGTTCAGGATGTGGTCATTTTACCATTTGCATTGATAATATATATTATAATCGCATATAGTGAATCCAAAGTAATAATAAATGCCATATCTAATCGTCAGACTGTCTCCGGCATGTGTGTCAAACGATTTTGTATATCGGTTCAATGCACAAAGTGAAAAGAGGATGACCAAATTTGAGATAAAATGAAAACGACTGAAATATATCATATAAGGAAATGTCTATGTGCGTTACATACGCTTTTTTAACATATTGAACATTCTCTGAAGCATATTTTGTTTTGCATATATGCCACAGAGAGAGATATAATTATTATTCTATATAACATGGATTATTTATTGCTTTGGAATTACTGCCAGCAATTTTAAATTTTCCAAACTCCAAGAATCAGATATGTCAAGGCAACCACTAAGCTGTTTACTAATTGGCTTCATTGCGCTTTGGGCACAAAAGTCGATTCAATATGTATGTGTGTCATAAATGTTCATGTGACCAAAAATGTGAATTTCTTACTCTTGAGTCAACAGTCAAAAGAGCCTTTTGGGTATCGATATGCCATGGTATACCGCAATGCCACAAATATGTTGAGTATGAGAATAGTATTTCCATTTACCAAACCTTAGCACAGAAAATACTTCTTTTTCATATTATTTTCATCCAATTATGATGATCAAATTGATGATTTAGTGGTTATGAATTTGTAATTTACCTAATTTAAATAACTATTAATAATTAGCGATTAATTTAATCGATATTTGAACACTTGAGTTTGGCCATACATTTGAAATGTTTTCTCTCGGGTTTTTGCAATAAATACAATTAGTTGAATGAAATGTTGTTAAATGTGTCTATCTAACGAAAAAGCGCGTTATTTAACCGCATTTATTTATTTATTATCCCAATTTATATGATATTTATTTATCACGGATATGCGCAAATAAGCGGAAAATTGATTTCGAACATCACAAATATCATTACTGTTGACATTTCACAACAAATGCTTCATCAATGTCATCCAACCATAAATTTTGTTGTATACGACGGCTCACTCATAAAATACACAGACATGGTTAAATTTGTTTACAGTTCAGTTGATTGTTTCGGTATGATGTCATCGACATCAAATTCTCATTTATAGTAAACGAAAAATTCGATTTCAGTAGATTTTTCCAATTCCTATCAATTTTGATTA